CCATTCTAATATGCAGTCATGAATTGGTTCATGTTATTTATACAATTATTACAGTATTGGAGTAGTCTGCATAATAGTAAACCTTTATTTTTTGTTTGAATAAAAATTCGAAATAGAAAGCAAGAGTAATATCAGAGGGGCCTGGAGACATGACTGATGAACAAAGAAAATGTTATTTTAGAGCCAGGAATGTCTGCATTGTTCATTCTGGACCTTATTTTGAAATTCATATTTTTTAATTTTCATGAAATTGCAAATTTCTGACCACGTTATTGGGTAGTTGAAATTGGTAAATGGGCAGTTTCTTGTACTCAATCGATAGAAAAAGTGGAGTTCTAAAGAAATAGTTATGAGTTTGGTTGACTGGAAGAATGGAATTAGCCGAAAATAGGGCTCAAAGTGGGCAAAATCGCCGATTTGTAAATATCACCAAGGTCGCTATCTTCGCAAGAGCTTAATTTCGTCAGTTTTCCATCATTTCGTTTTTTTGGTGTCATTACAATTGGGAAAAGATTCTCTATCATTTCATATGAAAAAATAATTTTTTTTTTTTTTTTTTTTTTTTTTTTTTAAATTTTGCGACACCAGGAGACACCTCAGGATTGGGGGTTGCAACAGTCAAGGGGTTAAAGTGTAGGCATTGTACTTCCCATCTCCAGGACTCAAGTCTGGCTAACCGGTTTCCCTGAATCCCTTAACCCTTTCGGGGTTTCGGCCGTACTAGTACGGCTTACGCGCCAGGGTTTTTGACGTACTAGTACGCATAAATTCTAGTGCCCTCAAATCTAGCAAGAGAAAGCTGGTAGGCGTACATAGGAAAGAATGAGTCTGGTCAGTGTGTGCAGTATAAAAAAAATCCTACAGCACACAGTGCATAGTGGTTTAAAACAGCAACTTTGCACTGTATTTTCCTATGGTATTTATGGTTGTATTCTAGTATTCCTGGTCTTATTTTATAGAATGGAAGACATATTACAGAAATTGAGATGATTTTGATTGGTTTCACAATGAAAAGTACCTTGAAATTGAGCTCAAAGTAGCAGAAATGTTCAGTTTTTGCCAAAGTTCAAAAGTAAACAAATCATGCCATGCGTCCAATACACATCAACTGGTGAATCTAATATTCTCTCACAAGATCGCTGGTATTATTTATACTATTTCTACACTAATACAGTAGTCTGTATAACAGTAAATCTCTTATTTTTTGTGAGAATAAAAATTCAAAGTGGAAAGCAAAAGAAATGTAAGAGGGGTGTGGGGATGTGACTAATGAACAGAGGAAATGTTATTTTAGTGCCAGGAATGTCTTTCTTGTTTATTCTGGACCCTATTTGGAAATTGGCATCTTTTGAAATTTGTGTGAAATTGGCAATATTGCTAAATTCTGACCACTATTGGATAGTTGAAATCGTTAAATGGGTGGTTTCTTGTACTCATTCGATAGAAAAAATGGAGTTCTAGTGAAATAGTTATGATTTTTGTCAACTAGTACACTGGAATTGGCCGAAAATAGGGCTCAAAGCAGGCAAAATCACCGATGCGTAAACATCGTCGAGACCGCTAACTTCGTGAGAGCATAATTCCGTAAGTTTTCCATCAAATTTCATACTTTTGGTGTCATTATGTCGGGAAAAGATTCTCTATCTTTTCATAAATTTTTTTTTTTTTTTTTTTTTTTTAATTTTGGCGACCCTGAGAACAAGTCTCTGAGAGGGCCTGGCGACCCTCAGAGGGTTAACAAACTATTACCCTGCTCACACTCCAACAGCTTGTTAGGTCCCAAAAACGATTTGTTTCTGCTCCTGTCTAACACACACATGCCTGCTGTTTGTCCAGCCCCCTTGTATGCATCTCTCTTACCCCCTCCATCCATCCTTTCCTAGGATGAACCCCCCACCCTTCCTTCCCTCTGCTATAGATTTATACACCCTCCAAGTCTTCTTATTTTGCTCCATCTCCTCAAAATGACCAAACCACATCAATAACCTCTCCTCAGCCCTCCGAATAATACTCTTAATTACTCCACACCACATCTTAATTTCCACACTATGAATTCTCTGCATAATATTTATACCAGACATTGCCCTTAGACACAACATCTCCACTGCCTCCATCCTTCTCCTTGCTGCAGCATTTGCATCCCATGCTTCACACCCATATGAAAGAGTGTTGGCAACACTATACTCTCATACATTCCCTTCTTTCCCTCTATAAGTGAAGTTCTTTGCCTCCACAGGTACCTCAATGCACCACCCACATATTTCCTTCATCACTTCTGTGGTGTACCACAAACCCGTCTGCTGACTTCTACTCCAAAATATCTGAACACATTCACTTCTTCCATACTCCCTCCCTCCAGTCTGATATCCATGTAAATGTTACTATTAAAAATTTTGTTTTTGTGTTTAAATTTAAATTAAATTTAAACGTATTGGTGGATAAAAGGTTGATGGGTAGGCTTTAGGATGTACATGTTTATAGAGGGGGCAACGGATATGTCAGATCATTATTTAGTTGTAGCTACAGTTAGAGTAGGAGGTAGATGGGACAAAAGGAAAATGGCAACAGCAAGTAAGAGAGAGGTGAAAGTTTGCAAACTAAGGAAGGAGGAAGGTAGGGTGAGATATAAGCAACTATTGACAAAAAGGTGGGATAGTGCAAGTATGGGTAATGGGGGGGGGGGTTTGAAAAGGGATGGGATAGTTTTAAAAATGCAGTATTAGAATGTGGGGCAGAAGTTTGTTGCTGTATGAGGGTGGGTGCAGGAGGAAAGAGGAGTGTTTGGTGGAGTGATGAGGTAAAGGGTGCAATAAAAGAGCAATAGGTAGCTTATGAGACGTTATACAAAGCAGAAGTGATATAAGAAAGGCAGAGTATATGGAGAGTAAAAGAATGGTAAAGAGAGCAAATGATAGAATGGGAGAGGCACTCTTAAAGAAATATTTCTAAAAGTATGAAAAAATTTTGGAGTGAGATAAACAGGTTAAGAAATCCTTGGGAACAAATGGATTTGTCAGTTAAAAACAGAGTAGGGGAGTTAGTATTGGGGAGATGGAGGTATTGGGTAGATGGCAGGAATAGTTTTAGGAACTTTTAAATGTTGATAAAGAAAGGGAGGCAGTAGTTTCATGCACTGGCTAGGGAGGTATACCATCTTTTAGGAATGAAGAAGAGCAGGATGCAAGTGTGGGGAATGGTGCATGAGGCATTACATAGAATGAAAGTGGGTAGAGCAGCTGGAACTGACAAGATCATGACAGAAATGTTAAAAGCAGGGGGAAATATAGTGTTGGAGTGGTTGGTATTTTTGTTTAATAAATGTATGAGAGAGGGGAAGGTACCTCGGGATTGACAGTGCATGTAGTTCCTTTATATAAAGACAAAGGGTACAAAAGAGATTGTAAAAATTATAGGGGAATAAGTTTACTGAGTATACCAGGTAAAGTGTGTGGTAGGGTTATTATTGAAAGAATTAGAAGTAAGACAGAGATCAGGATTGCAGATGAGCAAGGAGGCTTTAGAGTGGGTAGGGAATGTGTAGATCAAGGGTTTACTTTGAAGCATATATGCGAAAAGTATTTAGATAAAGGTAGAGAAGTTTTCATTTCATTTATGGATTTAGAAAAGGCATATGATAGAGTGGATAGGGAAGCAATGTGGCAGATGTTGCAAGTGTATGGAATAGGTAGTAAGTTACTAAATGCTGTAAATAGTTTTTATGAGGATAGTGAGGCTCAGGTTAGGGTGCCTAGGAGAGAGAGAGATTACTTCCCGGTAAAAGTAGATCTTAGACAGGGATGTGTAATGTCACCATGGTTGTTTAATATATTTATAGATGGGGTTGTAAAAGAAGTAAATGCTAGGGTGTTGGGGAGAGGGATGGGATTAAATTATGGGGACTCAAATACAAAATGGGAGTTGACAGTTACTTTTTGCTGATGATACTGTACTTTTGTTAGATTCTAAAGAAAAGTTACGAAGGTTAGTGGACGAGTTCGGGAGGGTATGTAAAGGTAGAAAGTTGAAAGTGAACATAAATAAGAGTAAGGTGATGAGGGTATCAAATGATTTAGATAAAGATTGGATATCACATTGAAGAGAGGGAGTATGGAAGAAGTGAATGTTTTCTGATACTGTATTTGGGAGTTGACTTGTCAGCGGATGGGTTTATGAAGGATGAAGTTAACCATAGAATTAATGAAGGAAAAAAAGTGAGTGGTGTGTTGAGGTGTGTGGAGACAAAAAACATTATCCATGGAAGCAAAGAAGGGAATGTATGATAGTATAGTGGTACCAACACTCTTAACGTGGGTGTGAAGCTTGAGTTGTAAATGCACTAAAGATGTCCCGTCTAAGGGCAATGTGCGGTGTAAATATTATGCAGAGAATTCGTAGTGTGGAAATTAGGAGAAGGTGTGGATTTACTAAAAGTATTAGAGGGCTGAAGAGGGTTGTTGAGGTGGTTTGGTCATTTAGAGAGAATGGAACAAAGCAGGATGACTTGGAGAGCGTATAAATCTGTAGGGGTCATCCTCGAGAAGTGTTGGAGGGAGGGGGTAAATGAGGTTTTGTGGGCAAATGGCTTGGACTTCCAACAAGTGTGTTAGATGGGAGTGAATGGAAATGAATGGTTTTTGGGACCTGACGAGCTGTTGGAGTGTGAGCAGGGTAATATTTTGTGAAGGGATTCAGTGAAACTAGTTAGCCAGATTTGAGTCCTGGAAATGGGAAGTACAATGCCTGCACTTTAAAGGAGAGGTTTGGGATATTGGCAGTTTGGAGGGAAATCTAAGCTGTCATATCTGAGTGCCTCTGCAAAGACAGTGATAGTATGAGTGATGGTGAAAGTGTTGAATGATGATGAAAGTATTTTCTTTCTTTTTGTGTCACCCTGCCTCGTTGGGAAATGGCTGACGTGTTAAAAAAAATTATGGTATGCTCTAAACCCATGTTAAGTTCAGATGTAAGTGATTAAATTTGATAATATTTTGATAATACAGGTCACAAGGTTCTCTCAGATGAAGTTTCTCCAGGGAGTTTAATTAGTGTGGTGGCACCTGACCCACAAGCAGAGCGCAGTCGCATCAGTTCAGTAATGCAAAATTGCCACCCCACCATGTGCCTAAGTGGTAAGTACAGTCTTTGAATCTTGTTTTAATTTAGTATTGTTATACAGTAGTTATTTATTGTGTAATATACCTATAAATATGCATATACTACTTGGGGTAAATTCATTGTTGCAGCAAGTTAAAAGCAAAAATGAATGTTATGAAACCGACGAAGGTGGAGGAGGTATACAGTATTTTCATAAAAGACTGATAGAACATTGGTGGTCTACATGTATTTTATACAAAATGCTACTGAAAAATATTAATAAAATTGATTTCTGAAAAGTTATGCTTAACCAATTTACAAAAACAGTATGAACCCAAATCTAAACAAAAATTACTGTTATGCACTCGATAACTAATCTTTCAAGACATTTAATTATAAAATATATTGACATTCCTTTTATTATACATGTATTGGTGCTGCCAGACATAAAGTCTTGCACTGTTTTGTATGCAGATCTGTCACTGACACCAAGGTCACTGGGCTCAGCTCTCTCATATAAGGTGTGAGCAGTTAATTTGGCCTAGACCTAGCAAAATAACTAAGAATTTGGTCAAATTGAACCATGGAATTGGCTGACAAAGTAGAACACAGTGGGTGAAATTGCATATACTCAAATTGTGCCCAGACTGTTAACTTTGCACCTGTGTAATTCCATACATTTTTCATCAAATTTTGTATTTCTTTATATCATTACATTCAGAAAGAGATTCTCTGCTATTTCAGAAGAATTTTTTTTTAAATGCCAGCATTGTTAGCACTTCTAATTTTGGGGCTTCCAACAGTGAAAGGGTCAGTATACAAATCACTTGCAAACAATGAAATATAGACAAAGTTTTTAACCCTTGCAACCTAAGCAAATGCTTGATCTGTAGTAATATAGTATAAATTATATTTGTAAGACAAATAAGGCATCTCTTAACCCGTAAACGGTCCGAACGTATATATACGTTTTTTCAACATTTGAATGTATGTAAAAAAAGTAGATCTTTTTGTTTTTTACATTTGAAAATGTGTAAAAAACTTTGATCTACTTTTTTTTTTTTTGTTATTGAAAATATGTAAAAAAAAAAAAACGTAGATCTACTTTTGTAGCACTACACATGTGAACGTAGATCTGCTTGGACCGTTTACGGGCTAAAGTATATATTTTAATTTACTGCATATTAAGAGCTATGTAATTGTAAAAATGCACCTTTTTGTACTCTGTGGGCAGAAAAGTGGACAACTTCCTCTAGTATTTGGACAATTGATTTTTATACCCATATTGGACATAAGTGCTTAGGGAAACTCATTTGAGTTAGTATATATTGCACATTTGCTTTCATTTGTTTTGAATGGTAAATGAGCATAATGTAATTATTCCTCACATTTTGGGCACTTGTGTGAGCCTTTTGGATGTAATGACCTCTGTAATAGGTTGATGTAAGGCAGCCATCCAGTTAAGTGCTACCAAGTGGGAAAGGAAAGCCTGTTTATTATTGAAATGTGTGTATAGGTAGTGGTGCTAATTGTTCATATTTGAATGTTTTCCCCAGATGGCATGAGTTATGGAGGACGATTTCAGCTAATTGGTCCAGATGACAATGTCCTATTTGAGACATCTGGACACCTGGTATCTGTCACAGCCCTTTCATTTATACCACAACTGGCTTCTCTTGTTGTTGGTTACAACTTTGGGGCTTTCCAGATTATCAACTTGTCAACACTTACAATAGAGTAAGTACTAGAAGTCTGGCAAAGTATCAGTTTCATTGAGTATTGGCAAATTTTGATAGTATTGGTATTGCCCTAACATTAACCCTTAAGGGCACTATATTCGACTTATTCGCACGCTCTCCAAAAATAATAAAAAAATTGTGGAAATTGAGTTATTCATACAGAAAAATAGCTTAACTCTTTGACAACACAATGGTACAAAAATCAATGTTCTACGACGTTTCTACAAGAAATTATAGTCATTTATATCAGGTAAGGTGACGGCTATATGGGTAGCGCGTCTGCTCACGGCCCATATATTTTTTGGAATTTTTTCCTTGTTTTTATCGCTTTTTCTTTCATTATTCTTTCTAATATAATAACTGACTATTTGGCATCATAAAACAGTAGGCGGAGCTTATCCGTAGACTTAGAGCCAACCAGGCACCATGTGGGATCGCTCGGCTCCAGAGAGTGCCAGGAGAAATCACTTCATTATTACGCTTACATCAGCTTATATATCAACTCTACGGCTTATTTATCTATCAGAATTGATCTAATATGATATAATAAACACTATAAATATCATACAAACATGTTATATACTCTAGACTAAATAAAATAGGCCATAATATGGCAAGAATCCACCAGTAATATTGGATATAAAATTGTTACCCCTCAAATTCTTGTTGTATGACTTGGTCTTCAATGATAGAAAACGGTGTGTTGAAGAGGATAACTGCACTAGAACACCAGTTTACTAAGAAATACACCCAAACAAACGCGATTTTTTTTTTTTCGAGACGGGCCGGCCGGCGCTCCAGGCCAATATCTCGGAAGTAACTTATTCACATATGCCGCCGTTTTCCGACGTTATTACTTAATTAAATGGAATAATATTCACAGAAATTGTAGAATAATGATTTCTCTATTTTCTAATGATATAACATTGGAAATATTCCAAATACTTTGGGAGTTATGTGGGAGTAAAGGGCAGATTTTTTTGCAACATTCCAAGTACAGTGGACCCCTGGTTAACGATATTTTTTCACTCCAGAAGTATGTTCAGGTTCCAGTACTGACCGAATTTGTTCCCATAAGAAATATTGTGAAGTAGATTAGTCCATTTCAGACCCCCAAACATACACGTACAAATGCACTTACATAAATACACTTACATAATTGGTCGCATTCGGAGGTAATCGTTATGCGGAGGTCCACTGTACTAACAAACTTTATTTTTTCGTGAAATAAAGATAAGACATTTAGAGGATATTAGAACATTAGAAATTCGTATTAGCATTGTTCTCTCGGCACCAAGTGTCCAAACAACCATATAGAAATGATTCGGGGGCAAATGGCATCTTCAGAAAATCAGTCATTTCTCAGTTGTTATTTGAGGTATATTTTTGATAAATATTTTCAGGAAAGAGTGAAAACACTTTGTCTTGTGCACCAAAACTGGAGGAAATTCAACGGTAAACAACAGAGCATATGTTCATACGAATAGTCGGCCCTTAAATTGTCCAAACATAGATCTACATTCACCTGCGCAGCACTCCGAATATTTTGAAAAATAAAAGTTTTTGTCTTTTTCTTACGAGTGCATTTTTATATATTTTCTTTTCAACAAGTCAGCCATCTCCCACCGAGGCAGGGTGACCCAAAAAAGAAAGAAAATTCCCAAAAAGAAAATACTTTCATCATCATTCAACACTTTCACCACACTCACACATTATCACTGTTTTTGCAGAGGTGCGCAGAACACAACAGTTCAGAAGCATATACATATAAAGATACACAACATGTCCCTCCAAACTGCCAATATCCCAAACCCCTCCTTTAAAGTGCAGGCATTGTACTTCCCATTTCCAGGACTCAAGTCCGACTATATGAAAATAACCGGTTTCCCTGAATCCCTTCACTAAATATTACCCTGCTCACACTCCAACAGATCGTCAGGTCCCAAGTACCATTCATCTCCATTCACTCCTATCGAACACGCTCATGCACGCCTGCTGGAAGTCCAAGCCCCTCGCCCATAAAACCTCTCTTACCCCTTCCTTCCAACCTTTTTGAGGAGAACCCCTACCCCGTCTTCCTTCTCCTACCGATTTAAATGCTCTCCACGTCATTCTACTTTGATCCATTCTCTCTAAATGACTAAACCACCTCAACAACCCCTCTTCAGCCCTCTCACTAATACTTTTATTAACTCCACACCTTCTCCTAATTTCCACTCTCCGAATTTTCTGCATAATATTTACACCACACATTGCCCTTAGACAGGACATCTCCACTGCCTCCAACCGTCTCCTCGCTGCTGCATTCACAACCCAAGCTTCACACCCATATAAGAGTATTGGTACTATATACTTTCATACATTCCCTTCTTTGCCTCCATAGATAACGGTTTTTGACTCCACATATGCCTCAACACACCACTCAACTTTTTTCCCACATCAATTCTATGATTGACCTCATCCTTCATAAATCCATCTGCCGACATGTCAACTCCCAAGTACATGTATCTGAAAACATTCACTTCTTCCATACTCGTCCCCAATTTGATATCCAATTTTTCTTTATCTAAATCATTTGATACCCTCATCACCTTACTCTTTTCTATGTTCACTTTGAACTTTCTACCTTTACACACACTCCCAAATTCATCCACTAACCTTTGCAATTTTTCCTTAGAATCTCCCATAAGCACAGTATCATCAGCAAAAAGTAACTGTGTCAATTCCCATTTTGTATTTGGTTCCCCATAATTTATTCCCACCCCTCTCCCGAACACCCTAGCATTTACTTTTACAACCCTATCTATAAATATATTAAACAACCATGGTGACATTACACATACGTGTCTAAGATGTACTTTTACCGGGAAGTAGTCTCCCTCTCTTCCACACACCCTAACCTGAGCCTCACTATCCTCATAAAAACTCTTTACAGCATTTAATAACTTACCACCTATTCCATATACTTGCAACCTCTGCCACATTGCTCCCCTATCCACTCTATCATATGCCCTTTCTAAATCCATAAATGCAATAAAAACTTCCCTACCTTTATCTAAATACTGTTCCCATATATGCTTCAATGTAAACACTTATCTAGACATCCCCTACCCACTATGAAACCTCCTTGCTCATCCGCAATCCTACATTCTGTCTTACCTCTGATTCTTTCAGTAATAACCCTACCGTACACTTTTCCTGGTATACTCAGTAAACTTATTCCTCTATAATTTTTACAATCTCTTTTGTCCCCCTTCCCTTTATATAAAGGGACTATACATGCTCTCTGCAAATCCCTAGGTACCTTCCCCTCTTTCATACATTTATTAAACAAAAGTACCAACCACTCCAACACTATATCCCCCCCTGCTTTTAACATTTCTGTCATGATCCCATCAGTTCCAGCTGCTTTACCCCCTTTCATTCTACGTAATGCCTCATGTACCTCCCCCACACTTACATTCTGCTCTTCTTCACTCCTAGAAGATGGTATACCTCCCTGGCCAGTGCATGAAATTACCACCTCCCTTTCTTCCTCAACATTTAAAAGTTCCTTAAAATATTCTTGCCATCTACCTAATACCTCCCTCTCCCCATCTACTAACTCCCCTACTCTGTTTTTAACTGATAAATCCATACGTTCCCTAGGCTTCCTTAACTTGTTTAACTCGCTCCAAAAATTTTTTCTTGTTTTCATTAAAATTTCTTGACAGTGCCTCTCCCACTCTATCATCTGCTCTCCTTTTGCACTCTCTCACCAATTTCTTCACCTTTCTTTTACTCTCCATATACTCTGCTCTTCTTATAACACTTCTGCTTTGTAAAAACCTCTCATAAGCTAATTTTTTCTCTTTTATCACACCCTTTACTTCATCATTCCACCAATCACTCCTCTTTCCTCCTGCCCCTACCCTCCTATAACCACAAACTTCTGCCCCACATTCTAATACTGCATTTTTAAAACTCATCCAACCCTCTTCAACCTCCCCCCCCCCCACTACTCATCTTTGCATTAGCCCACCTTTCTGCCAGTACTCCCTTATATCTCAACTGAACTTCCTCCTCCCTTAGTTTATACACTTTCACTTCCCTCCTACTTGTTGTTGCCACCTTCCTCTTTTCCCATCTACCTCTTACTCTAACTGTAGCTATAACTAAATAATGATCCGATATATCAGTTGCCCCTCTATAAACATGTACATCCTGGAGCCTACCCATTAACCTTTTATCCACCAATACATAATCCAACAAACTACTTTCATTACGTGCTACATCATACCTTGTATATTTATATATCCTCTTTTTCATAAAATATGTATTACTTATTACCAAATCTCTTTCTACACATCGCTCAATTAAAGGCTCCCCATTTACATTTACCCCTGGCACCTCAAATTTACCTACTACTACCTCCACAACATTTTTACCCAATTTAGCATTTGAATCCCCAACCACAAGTACTCTCACACTTGGTACAAAACTCCCCACACATTCACTCAACATTTCTCAAAATCTCTCTCTCTCCTCTATACTTCTCTCTTCTCCAGGTGCATATACACTTACTATAACCCACTTTTCACATCCAACCTTTATTTTACTCCACATAATCCTTGAATTAATACGTTTATAGTCCCTCTTTTCCTGCCATATTTTATCCTTAACATTATTGCTACTCCTTCTTTAGCTCTAACTCTATTTGAAACCCCTGACCTAATCCCATTTATTCCTCTCTGCTGAAACTCTCCCACCCCCTTCAGCTTTGTTTCACTTAAAGCGAAGACATCCATCTTCTTCTCATTCATAACATTCACAATAATCTCTTTCTTATCATTTGCACAACGTCCACACACATTCAGACTTCCCAGTTTGATCATTTTCTTATTCTTTATAGTAATCTTTACAGGAAAAGGGGTTACTAGCCCATTGTTCCCGGCATTTCAGTTGACTTACAACACGCATGGCTTACAGAGGAAAGATTCTTATTCCACTTCCCCATGGATATAAAAGAAAAAGTAATAAGACCAAGAACTATTAAGATAAAATCAATGAAAACTCAGATGAGTTATCGGTATATAATGTATGCCCCTTACCATACGGTAAGGGGCATACATGCTTCTCACTACATACCTGAGATACCCAATAACATCCTGGTATCTTTCAATGTTTTACTTCCCGTGTATACAACAATATCCAATACCAGGCCACTGTCACAGTCACAGAGTACAAACAGTTTTATACCAAAGCGTTTCCTCTTGCTCGGTATATACTGTTTGACAATCTACTTTTGAACAAAATCAAAGATTCGTCAAGTACAAGATTCTTGAATGGATAAAAGTACATGCTGAACTTTTGTTTGAGATACATAAAAACATTTCTAATCTTGTATAACCTGTTACTTCTGTTAGGCCTGGTTTTGTCAGAGAAGTGCAACATACGTAACAGTAAGATAAACCTGTTCACTGGGATGATTTCACTGAAGACCGGGGTAGAAATTAGCCGATCTGTGGACCAGCATGCTTTTATATTATGCTTATAGACGTAAGGCATAAGCATTATTGTTGCAAAAAGCAAATACATTTCTGCAACAGTCGTCTCTTTCCACCGGTGTAGTCTTGACTGTGGTACTATCATCGTATTTGCCATGGTGTACTAAAAATACTTGTTACTTTCCCTGACAATAGTTTCCATCAAGGGCTGATCAAAGAATAGTTCAAAAAATTCCAGTTCATTGGCAGTAGTTCCAAGTGGACAAGTAGGTAGAATTCCACTTTGAGAGTCATCAAAGTGGTGGGGTTTGGGAACAAAGTTGGGATTTTGCTGCCAATCCCAGATACGGTTTGCTGGTGGATACTGGACATCATAGGCTGGTTGTGCTGGTAGTTGTGGTTGTGGTGGGCTGGTGGCTGACGCTCTGCTTTGTCCTTGAACTGAGGAGTCACCAGCGTGGGCTGGTGAGTCACGCATGGCCGTAGCACTACCACCACCTACTGATGCCTGTGGTCTATCCATGCCAAGTGTAGCCACATCATCCTCACTTTCACTATCTATTCCTGGTGTAGGGCCACCAGATGTACTCCAGGATGTACTCCGTCCCCTGGGCACTGCATAAGGAACACTACTTGAGCACATGCGGCGGCGTATATACCGACGCTTCACTGGTGAATATGTTTCCTCACTATCACTACTCGAATGATCGTCAAGAGCAATAAAATCACAATCCACGTCACTATCATCATCATTACTGAAGTCAGAGGCCTGGCCATGCGAAAATAATAGTTTTCTCTTGCGATGAGGAGTGACTGAGGAGTGCCCACACCAGAGGTAGAAGGTTGAGGATCGTCAGGATTTTCTGCACTATTATCGATATCCTGGTCATTCCCTTTGGTCACTAACTGATCAAAGCCAAAGAATTCGTCTTCATTTCCACTTCCATCAGAGTCAGAGCTATCAGATAGGAAGAGGAGATTCCCAATTTTCCTTGGAGTGAGAGCTGCCTGGTGACGAGGCATGGTGAACAGAGGTAACTGAGCCGGCGTTCCCACAATGCTATGTGGGTGCCTAGAATTTTTGTTTACGGCGCACACACCACACAGACCCATTCTCACATGTAGGCCTACCAGCGTTTTCGCGCTAAATTTGACGCTGCTAGAATTTTGGCGTAGATCTACAGTTTGGATCCTGAATGTAAAGCCATAGATCTACGGCACGGACCCTGGAAGGGTTAAAAGCTGTTAATATTGGATGTGCTGTATATGTCTTGAGCAGTCATGTTAAGCCAGAATTAAAATATGCAGCATTGGTGTGGTGCCTGGACCTAAAAGTCGTGTAAACAAGAGAGAGAGAGAGAGAGAGAGAAAAAAGATGTTATTTAAAATGACTCCCAGGGCTACAAAATATTGAATGCAAAGGAAGTCTGAAAGAGCCGAAAATACTCTTTGGTGGTTAATAGGAAAAGGAGACTTTTTATCAACAGGATGAAGTGGAGGCCACTGTTGTAAACAGTTATTTTTTTTTTTATACTTTGGTAAAGCAATGGATTAAGATTCAGGATGAGGCAATAAGTACTATAGTCACAGAAGTTACAGTTAACGCTAAAGGGTGGAATCGTCAAACCTAGCTGTACCCTGGTGCTACATTTTTCATTTTTTTAAAACACCATCCATTTCCCACTGAGTAGGGTGCCCCCCCCCCCCCCCCAAAAAAAAAAAAAAAAAAACACTTTTACCACTTTTTTTTTCTCAAATTTGGCCAGATTTTATAATCACTATGGTCCCTGACTGGACCTGTTATATTTCGGTTATGTGTTCCACTTATTTTTTTTAACATAAATGTGAAATGATGTTAACATTAATTTTGCAAAGGCTAGATCAATGAGCGTATTTCATTGGATTCTAACCCCACAAGTGACCAATGTTTATAGTGGTAATTTTGTTTTAAGATTTTATCCATATATTGCATCGATATACAGTATATAGAAATGAGTATATGAATATGCCGAAGACCCTTCAATGAGACAGGAACTGTTAGTAGACTTTTGCTATATGACAGTTGACAACTTGGTGCATTTTTCTGATGAGCACATCATAGTGTTCATCAGCCTATGGGCAAGACCATTGTCTTAATGGGGATTCATAATCATACTCATAATGTAAACAAACCTCCCATGCTGTTAGTGGAAGTTGCCCATTGAGTTCAACACAAAAATTATGCTTTTTGTATTTGTCAAATATCTTATTGCATCCAATTTTTTCCTCTGTATTTACAGTTGTGCAAGCCCTTATGAAGCCAATATGCCACCTGTGATTTCATTTGCCTGTCAAGAGCCAGAAAATGATCCTAAAAACTTTGTTTATCTTTGGTTGTGCCGTAGTTTTCGTCCCACAGGTAAGGAAGCGACTTAGAAAGAATTGTTGGATCTTTGATATGGACAGAACTTAGTGATTTCAAAGATATCACTGTCTTTAAATTTTTTATGAAAAGCTTGATTGAAAATATTTTGATGTTCAGCTACACTTGTTTGTACAGCCTCTCCTCACTTAGCGACGTACTCGTTTACCGACGCCTCAGACTTACGACGGGCTCTCTGACCAGTATTTATACCTAAATAATGTATATTAGAGCTGATTTCCTCTTTTCTGTTTATTTCAATATACGTATAGTACATTACTGTATAAACATTTAAAAAATATACCAAAATGTTAATAAATGGTGCAAAGGTGACCATTATAACAATATCAAATTGGATGAACACAATCCCACCTTAACCATTTATTGTATGCTCCTCTCTTAAGAGGCGACGAATTTGTTTAACGATATGTCTTAGGAACGGAAACTCTGTTTTGTTAAGTGAGGAGAGCTGTATACATTAAAGTGATTTTCTCATGACATGTTAGTTAACTTAACCACCAAGAAACAAAGCAAGGAGAAATAAAAATAGAAAAGGGAACACCACCATAGGCCTGTGCACGATGTATGCTATGAACTACGAAAGCAAAAGTTTGGATTGAAGGACATGGATTGTGGTACCAAGGAACAAAAAAAAAAAACTTTGCATCTATATCCCCAGATTTGAATTTGAGCAATTGGTGGTTTTTGGATTTAAGGACAACCAACAGATCCCAGTGTAGTGTTTTCACTATGGACTGTAAGGCAGACAATGACCGACTTTCTCCCGGCGGCTGCTCATGGTGGATCTTCGTCTTTTCTGCTCTTGCCACTCCAATGAAATTGTACTTTACAAACTCATATACGTGTGTAATATCTAAATTTCTTTGTTACGTATCACTACAAGTAGACTGTGTCATTTTAACACGTAGTTACATTGCTGAAAAATGCCATGCTAGGCAAAACCATGTTACATGAACTGAACCAACTTATGAAAAAAACTAGGTTATATTCTGAGGTGCCCCAAAAAGCCAAAGAACTTTATTAGCCTCAACCTCTTACAAAAATACAAGTGAATGATGTACTGTAGCATATTTTTGAACTGTATTAATGGCTGAATTTTACTGCTTAAGACTCAGATTTAACAGAAATAATAGTACAGTGGACCCCCCGGTCACGTATTATTCCGTTTCCTGCGAGCGTCATCAAAGCAAAATTTATCGATAGCGAAATCAATTTTCCTATAATAAATAATGAAAATCAAATTAATCGTGCAAGACAACCCAAAAGTAAGAAAAAAAAAAATTTACCTACATAAAAATTAAGTTAAAAATGCAATAGAATAATTAACAATAAACAGTAATAACAATAGAATAAAACACAATAGAAAATTGACACTTACCTTCAAAATGAAGATTCTGGTCGGATGATTGATGGGATGGAGGAGGAGAGTGTCGAAGTTTTTAATGTTTAAAGGGAAATCCCCCTCCCATTAGGACTTGAGGGTAAGCAAGTCCCTTTTTTCCTGGTTACTTCCCTTCTTCTTTTAAATGCCACTAGGTTTCAATCCTTCAGCCACTATGTACTTCCTTGAATTCATGCACATATTTTTCAGCCGCTTGGGTGGTCTAAAACTACTGGCCAGCCTCCACCAATGCCAATCACACTATGTATGCCAACTGCGATTCTTAAATCTTTCAAACCACACTTTGCTGGACCTTATCCCTTTTCAGGTCCCAAGGCCCAAATCTGGAGTACAGAGCACCAGTGTCCAAGAATTTTCATCAAAATAAAAATTTGTTATTTTTACTTAGAAATTCATAGAGAATCTTTTTGTGAACGTAAGAAAACAAAAAGTACGAATTTGGTGGAAAATTGACGAATATATGCTCTCGCGAATTTGGATGTGTCAGCGATATTTTACGAATCGGAAGAGTAAGTCGATTTTGCCGACTTTGATCCCATTTCAGGGCCAATTACATTATTCCATCAACCAAATTCATTACTATTTCAAGTAGGTATTACTTCTATACTATCGATTGAATCACAAGAAAACGCCAAGTCCAACGTTTACAACAAACAAAATAAAGTGATCGGAATTGTTAATTTTGGCCACTTTAACACAAGTTCAAAATATTCCAATTACAAATAGGGTCCGAATGAACAATGTAGGCATTCCTGGCACTAAACAAACCATTTCCTCTGTGTCTTAGCTATATGTTTTTGAGGCTTTAACAAATAAATTCCATTATGTTGATTTTTAATTTTTCACATAATGAATAATTATTCACACCAAAAAAAGAAGATAAACTGTTATGCAATACTGTAATAATATGTATAAATATCATCACCATATTTGTGATGTATATTAGACCCACCAGCCTGACCGTGAATATAGACGTGTGATGTGTCTCGTTTGTTTTACTCTTGAATATCGGCAAAATTTAACATTTCTGCTACTTTGAGCACAGTTTCAGCCATTTCCAGGTGCAAAAACCAATCAAAAAAATCATCTCTTTTTCTGTAATATTTTTGGGGGTATTCTTCCAAATCAATTCAAATGAGACCAGAAATCGCAATACAACTATAAAAAACATAAGAAAAAACCTGCAAAGTTGCTGTTTTTATTCGTAAAAATCCTGATTTCATTTTTTTTGTTCTCTCATTTATAACACAGTGTGCTGCAGGATCAGTTTTATGTGGGCACACATACCACATAGATGTATTCCTCGACATATCTAGGCCCAAATGTACCACTCACAGTTCATACATATGAGCCTGAGCTCATGGCGTAGATCACGGTTTGGACCCCTGACGTAAAGCTTGTAGGAATCTAACGGGACGGACCCTGAAAGGGTTAAATTCGCTCAACCATTAAATTCACCACTAATTGCAGGCAATTTTTCTAATTTAAATCCTATGCAACCTGCTTAGCCTTTTTCACAAAATGGATCGCTTTTAGAGATGCTATCTGATTTTTCATTTCTTCCCACACCAGTAACAGTCTCTCGACAATTTTCTAAACACACTATGCGATCGCTGTATTTGTAATCCACAGTTGCACCCTTTTGCAAGAACAGCTTCCCTTGATAGCCGTTTTACCCCTGCTTCACTATATTCGAGATGTTTGATTGGGATTTTACTATACAACTCGGCCAGGGCCGACACCACGCACCATCCACTTCATACTTTGCATTAACAGTGGACACCCCCGCATAGCGAACTCAATCCGGCAAGAGGGCCTGGCTGTTATGCCGAAATGTTAAATATTGATCGCTAATGCGAATTAAAATTTTTCCCCAAAATAAATAATGAAATAAAAATTAATCCGTGCAAAGACACCCAAAATGTAGTGAAAAAAAATTTTTTTACCACAAAAAAATTTAATTTTAGGTAACACACAACCTGAAAAAGGCATGCACAATTACATGACACTTACATTTAAATTGAAGATCTGGTGATGATTGATGGGATGGGAGGAGGGGAAAGAGAGAGTGGTTAGTGTTTAGAAGGGGAATCCCCTTCCATTAGGACTTGAGGTAGCAGTCCTTTTCTGGGGTTACGTTCCCATCTTCTTTTAATGCCACTAGGACAGCTTCAGAGTCACTGGACCTTCTTTCGCACAACATACTGTCCACAGTGGCCTGTACCTCTCGTTCCTTTAATGATTTGTCTAAAGTGGTTCACAACAGTGTCATTGTAACTGTCACAGCACGGCTTGCAATAGCTGGTGAGGGTGATTATTTCAACAAAAAAGGTTTGCACTCCAAGCCATTTTGCACTACATTTCCTTAAATCCTGAAGTAGGCAATTCCTTCAATTTCTCTCCACCTCCCTCCTTTGAACCAGTTTTTCCGCAGGTCGGCCTCTTGCACTTGAAGTTTGATTCTATCAGCTCATCAGTGGTTAGTTCGTTCATTGTCCCTCGCTCCACCAACTCGTTCCACATCCCTCCCCGACTAACCTCCAACCCCAAGGACTTCCCCAATTCCAACAATTGAATTCCTCAACTTGGTAATAACTCCTCTCTAAGGTTAGCCAAAACCCATCAAAATCCCTTTGTCTACACATTCTCTGGCCAACAGTTTCTTCCAAGCAGAGTTGCAAAGGTTCTCTTAAGTCCTCCTGCCCACGCCTTACCTATAAGGTTTACACAAATGAGGATATTAAATGATCCTTCCAAAACTCCTTTTAGAGTCAATCGCGGTGTCTGTGTCACTTCAAAGCACTTTTGAAACAGAGCTTTTTGTGTAAGTTTCTTGAAGTTGGAAATGACCTGCTGGTCCCATGGCACTGCAGGAAGAGGAGTGGTTATTAGGAGATCAAAAACTTCACCCTTAATGAAGCACATGTCCCCCATAAAGTACGCTCTGGGGCCACGTCTGTAGGTGACCAGGGGGCATTGTCTAACACCAGGAGGCACTTAAGGTCTATTCTTTCCGTTTAGGTAATCTTTCACATTGGGGCAAACATGCAGGTGTATACCAGTTATAGAAAAATTCCTAGTGACCCATGCCTTACTGTTTTTTTGCCCTCCACAGCCACACTACAAATTATCCTTGAGGACATTCATTTGCCTGAACGCTCTGGGATTTTTTTCAGAGTGATACACAAATAAAGGCTTAACGATTGCAATCACCACTAGCATTGGCACACATCAACAAAGTAAGAGCCTGTTCCCTTCATAAGCTTAGTTTCCTGGAGTGCCTTTTCCACCTGAGTACTGTAGGATCCCTGCTTGCATATTTCTTCTTCCAGAACAGGCCTGTTTCATCACCAATTAAACACTTGTTCAGGTTTCAGGTCTTCAGTTCCTATGTATCTCCTTGAATTCATGCACATATTTTTCTGGCCGCTTTTGTGTGCCGAACTGGCAGCCTCCCTGCCGTAATCACACTATGGATGCCACGACGCTTCTTAAATTCTCTCAAACCAACCTTTGCTGGCCTTAAATCACACTCACATCATCACTAGTTAGCCAAGGCACTTTTTTTTTTTAT